CAATTAAGATGTCAAAATTATCATTTTTTAAAATTAGAAACAGATTTTTCTTAAAGCTTACATTTGTCTGATTACATAAATATGTACATATTTTTTTTCCATTTTCCTCAGAAAATCAATGGTGTCCACCTCCAAGGGGTTGGCCTTGTATTTTTCAGTGCTTTGAAAATATAGGATGCAGAGATGGTAACATATGCTGCCCCACTGGATGTGGATATATGTGCCAACGTCCAGGAGATGGTGAGAAAACATAAAGTGGCAAAACTCCTCACTTACTCTCCTCATAAAGCTGCCACAAACAGGTTAAATGTGTGTGTGTGTTTTTTTTTTTTTTTTCATTTCAGATTAGCCCAAACTTTGTGGAAGACACCTGCTCATCCCTCACTGTCATGGTAGTGATGGTGAATGAAGCTGTAAGAAGAAGCACTCTCTAAACAGATGTGAAAACACCTGTAAACAATCCTTTTGTTTTCTTAAAAACACCAACTGAGCTGCATCATATAGTCCAGTGTGCTTCTCTTCGGTTTCTTTAATAAAGTCACTGATAAAAATTGTGTATTGTTTATTTGTGGTTCTGCTTTTTTACCTTACTTGTGATGCCAGTTTATACGTTTCAAAGGTGTTTTGGTATTTTTACATTTTATTAACAGAATCATCTGAATGTCATTACATTTTCTAAATCATTCAGAGTGCTTTACAAGTACATACTGTGGGTTTTGGTTCTCATTTCTTCAGGTTTCATCTTGTTTTCAGGATGTGTAAGCTTATTTGTCTTGTTAGCCTGAAAATTTGACGCAAATTAAGTCAGAAATTTCTGCCAATGGAGTAAGAAAATTTTACTTGGTATGATTCTTGAAATACTTGATTTGACTCTTTTTTTTTTTCTTATTTCAAGAATCTTACCACCTAAAATTTTCTTACTCCATTGGCAGAAATGTTTGACCTAATTTGAGTCAAACTTTCAGACCAACAAGACAATGTTACATATCCTGAAAACAAGATTATCATTCTTACACAATCAGTTCTTGTTTAGTAAATCAGTCTCAAAACAAGATCAAAAAGACTTTTTGGCTGATACAAAATTTTAAAACTTGGTAAGATGGACAGTTTTTGCAGTGTACATTCTTCACCAGTTTTGTGGAATCCAGTTTTAGAAATTCTTTGTTATCAGAAGGTGAAGATAAAATCTTTTCAGCTCTGTATGATGTTTTTCTTGTTCTGTTGTGATTATTGTGTTTTTGCAATGTTGTCAATAGTCTTTTTTATTTTTTATTTTTATAAATAAATCAAAATAGTCAGCTCCATGAATGCAATGCATTTGACTACTTATAAACAAACCATTGGTAACACCTAAAGACCTTTCTAAAAGGTTTACATGACAGAAACTAATAATAATTTAAAGAACTGTGMTGACTAGGCTGCTAGGAATTCATCCATCCATTTTTCTTACTGATTTTCCATGTTAGGTTGATGAAGCTGGTGACTGAATAAAAACCTGTGACTCTCTTGCTGGAAGACAACAGCTTAGACCACTGCTTTACTAAGAATGTTAAAAGTAATTTGTTGCTGTTGAATAAAGACAAATAATTATAGATTTGTAAAACTTGTTATTTAATTAAAATCCATTGAGTGGTTAATGAGACATTTTGACCTGTGCATCATTTCCAGCAAAAACTAATTATTGAACAGGTTTTTRAACCTTCTGAGGTCAGAAATTTCCACCYAGTCATGTCCTCAGGDGAGGCCTCAGAGGGAGAATTTGTGGCACCAGACAAAACAAAAGGTAACATTGTCTATCTTTAAATTCTAAGAAAACAACTGAGTTTTCAGGCAGCAATCACAATAGAAAATATGTGATAAGAGTGTAATTGAGAGTGTAAAAATTTGTTGAGAACAAAAAGTAAAGAGAATCCTTGCTGGAACAAGATGGGGAGTGACGTCACCCTGTTTCCACACCACAAGCAAGAAAAACCTTGTTGGTAGAAACGCACAGATCAATGACGTTACGCAATCTCAAAAACTATTCAGTCTTTTATCACACCTTTTCACAATTCATCCTTCTACCAACACCAAGTTTTGTGCTGGAGAGATTTTTTTTCTGTGCAGTTAATGTCTTGCTGGAGTTAAAGCTAAACTGAAAGCCAAGGAAGTGGAAACTAAAGCTTGTTGTTTGAAACGAAAACACTGAACTTTGAACTAAAGTGGTTCAAGCACTACTTATGGACACTGGGGAAGGGGAAATTTGTTTGTACTGCTTATTTTTTTGTTGTTGTATATAATATTTTGCAAAATGGATTTATTTTGTCTGTGTCCTATTTTCTTTTTCAAATATTTTGTCACTTATTTAATTAAGGTTTAAAAAGGTGTATATTTTTATATATATGTCCTTGTGTGATAGGTTAAAACAAAATAAACTCTAAACCACAATAAATAAAAACAGTAAAATCCCACACACACGGTCAAACATCCTATATACCAGGAGTGAGAGCTCGTTGGCACCCCAAATAAATTAATCATTAAAATAGCAATAAAATAACAAAGCCTGGAACCGTCACAAATGATGGGTTGAAAAGTTCAACAGTTCAGATCGACGAGTGTAGGTAGGGAGTTGTTGTGTGACCAGTGGGTTGCTGGTTCAAACCCACATCAGTCTTGYWRCTTGGAATGATGAACACTGCACCTCCTTGCCTGTTGATGGTRGTTGGGTTTTGGTGGAGTCGGTGCATAGCAGCCTCACTTCTGTCAGTCTGACWCTGGGCAGCTGTGGCTACAAGGTAGCTTACAACCTTTTGAATGATTATAATGTAAAATGATTTGGAGTCATTGGGCTTGATAACACATCATATAAGTTCAAGCTATTTACCATTTGTTTTGCTCAATGTTAAGAAACTGCAATTAGTATTTTCTAGTTATATTAATATAATATATGAATTCAGCTGAAACAGACTTTGATTGGCTTATCATAAACCATTATTTTATTTCTGAATTTTTTAAGAAGTCAGTGGTTTTATTCAGGTTTATCAGCTGCTCTCATACAAAAAAACTTGTTTTGCTGTTTTGCCTCAGATGACAACATTTCATCAGCCTGATTGACCCTAAAAGACTTAAAAAGAACCCACATTTGCTCAACTGATTTAACTAATATAGCCGGAGCTCCAAAATCTTTGTAAAAATAAAATTAAAATCAAAACAAAGTACCAAAACCAGTTTAATGCATTCCATTGTCAACTCTTGTGCTTTCATTGATTTATTTACCACGGAAGTGTCAAAAGCTCAGAACCCTGTCAACAACATGAACAGGCTAACCAGGATTTCTGGCCAGCAGCAGAACCTGAATAATTTGACCCTCGAGGTGACTGAAGAGATGATGGCAGATAACCTTTACATGACAGAGTGTCAGTCAGCCTAATGTAACCCTATGAAGCAACAGATCACACACACACACACACACACACACACACACACACACACA